CATCTTCCTCTGCTGCAGCCCATGTTAGACAGCACCGTGCCCAGCTGGCATCACCTCACCGTGCAATTCGTGTGAGGTCACAAACCTTTCTTTAATGGTGCCCTGAGCGTGGAGCTGGCGCTTGCAGGCTCCCCAGTCCTGCAGTTCAAACAGCTTGGTCTCTGCCTTGGCAGCAGGAGCACGTCAGCTCCAGTGCTACAGAAACAACGTGCTTTGAAATGCAGATCCTGCCCCGCTTTGTTCCCGCATCTTTGTAGGTGCTGATTTACAAGGCCCTCGCATCTTGATCACTGGCCTTACACCAAGGCCCCCGCACCGTCTGCCTGTGATGAACTCTCGTTAGTGTTCAGCACCACGCAAACCCCAGGAGCCTTTTGCCTCCCTCGGCTGCTCTCTACTGATGCTCGGGCAGGGAGATGCGAAGCCCGGGGTCAGCAGCAGCCGGACGGATCAGAGGAGGCTTTTCAAGTTCAAGTCCTTGGTTCAGAAAGCTGCTCAGAGGAGCAGCAGTTCACGTGTCTATCCTGGTGCCATCGCAGGGGAGATCACGAATGAGAGAAAATTACTGCTCACGCACCAGCAGCTGGAGATATCAGCCCGCCTCCGGGCACGGGCAATCCTTTCGCAACGGGAAGCCACATCGGGAGAGCTTCGGATGGAGATGGATTTGGGATCCCCGTGATGCTGATCACCTCCCCCAACGCAGGTGTCTGCTCCAGCCTGTCTCCCCCGTCCTCGACCAGCGAGCTCAAGCTGCCAAGGGGAATGTGGCTCACGGTCTGCTGGCAGACGCCCCATCCTTTTCAATTATGTGCAGTCCAATTCCCATCACGAGGAGGGGAGCCAGGAGGAAATGCCACCGAAGTCAGCAGAGTCATGCTGCATAGTCTGGAGTGAGCAGGAGGAGATGCTAAGCCTGGCCTAAACACACCATCCGGGTCTCTTATATCCGCCCCATGCCGGCACAACTCTCATTTAAATTTATGGCATCCGTTCCCTAACTAGCAGGCTGTGTTTAAAATTAATAACAGGGACGTGGGGATATGTGTCCTTTTTTTCCTCTTTAAAGCCAAACATCAGACAGTGTTCCAGCCTCTGCTCCCTGTGATGCAAAGCCTGCTCCAAAACCTGGTCCCCAGCTGCCAGCCTAAAAGCCAAACTGCAGGGCCTTGACCCCAGCAAACATTACCAACACACAGAGCAGATTTTTTCCCAGGCTAAAGCTTTAATGGCTCACGGGCTTGGAGCCCTCAGCCCGGCTTACAGAAGTGGGCACCAGCACTGCACACTCTAGGGTGAAGCCAACACACCTCAAAACTTTGGCAGCCACCAGCCCAGGGAATAGATGCTACAGAGCTATTCCTGCTGGCCCAATTCCCACGAGAGGAATGAGCCCCTTTTCACTGCCTGGCCTCACCCCAGGCTTAGGGCAGCACAGAAGGGCAGACCAGGATGTCCAGCAGCTGCCCAGGATTTCCATCCCAGCACATCAGTCAGACCTGGAGAAATGGCCCAAGCTGTCGGACAAGCCCATGGGAAGTCCAAAAGCCACCAATATAAGGTGGCATGGGAAGAAATCAACAAAGATAAAGAGCTCTGTAAATTTCCTAGGGCCCTGTAATAGCAGAGGAATTATTTCAGAAAACTGTAAGATCTGTGGAAGCCTCCAGGCACCAGAAGGAAGCCAAACAAAGCCCTGTGTTCCCTGTTGGCTGACTGGGGAAATTGCTCCCTGTCCCCAGCTGAGTTCCAGCTGTGGCCACTCTCTGCCACCTCAGAGAGAGACAGGACCACCACCAAACCCAGGAGCCAAATTAGGCACCAAGGGAGATGAAGATTCCTCCCTGGACTCTGCAGAGGACAGCAGACCCCCTGAAGTGAGGGATTAACATACGGCAAAGCCAGCACAAAGAAAGATCAATCCAGTCTCGCTTCAGCACACCAGATACCCAAGGACTCTCCCTTCTGGAAAGGCTCTGAATGAATAATCCTTCCCATGAATATTGAGAGCTATCTTGAAACAGTGGCTGTCTCCTCCCACCCACCAGCCCTTTTGAAGGCCACTCCAGAAGGATCTCTTTCAAGCATCAGAAACTGCTTTTAAAATCCCATCTAAATTTATTTATGGCTGGCTTATCACACTGGGCTGCACCTTTCCTGACCAGAGTCCTCACAAAAGCCAATGCATTAACAACCGGATGTCTTTTAAACCCTTCTGGGGGTTACACCTAATCCCACTTACTATAGAAAGTCTGGGATGCAGCCAAAGGATTTGCCCTGTCCTGAAGGGGGACCTTTGATGGGACCCCCAGCCCCCTCCTTCCCCTAGGGAGGAGCAGGGAGGGAGAGAGACTGGATATCTTAAAGCCTGCTTTAAGGCCCAAAACAAGATCTATGTGTAGACTTTGTGGCTGAAACACCATTAATTTTTATTTCTCCTGCACTGAGGCTATTTTGGGCTTGTCTGCCAGCAGAACTTGGCCCTTCCTGCGTGCAGAGGCTGATGCCAAGCAAGGAGGAGCAAACGCGGACACCTGGGATGGGAAAAGGTCCCTGCTCCCTGCAGGATGGCATGGCTGCCCTTCCAGCCCATCCCACAGGGGTTACAGATGTTCTTTAAGCCCTCCCCTGCTTTCTAAGTGATTCCTAACTCCCACTTCATTTCAGCAAGGACCATTAAGCTTCTGAGATCTCTTGGAAACTTAAATAAAAAGTCTGAGACTACCAAGAGATTTGCAGCCAGTGGTGGAAGGAAATGCTATCCATCCCCAGGAGAAGATGCTGAGGGGGTAGAAAAGCAGTGTCAAGCCTCTGGGACCTCCTGGATATCCACAGAGCATCAGAGAGGCTGGGGACATGGCCTCCAGAAGGACACCACAGACAAACAGCACACCTGGACCATCTTTCTTAAGGACACAGGAATTCAGAGGGTCCTTCCACCCCAGTAAAAGTTTGGGATTTAGATGCTCAGTGATATGGTTGAAACAATTTCCTTGATCTTTTATTACCCTGGTAAATAATTTATCGGGACAGGCATTTTAAAAAATCCCATAAAAGACCTATAAAACATATTTATCACACAAAAAAACTCCGCTCCTTGGCTCCAACCAACAAGCTGAAAACTTGTTTGTATACTTCACTGCACATAAACTAACCAACGCTTTGTGACAGCTTTAAGCTTTTTAACAGCTCTCTCCCTGATGCTTTTTATTTCCATTTTTCTCTCTGTGAATTCACAAGGTAAAACAATAAGAACCCACCACAACAGGAGAGGCTTCTGCTCTTGGACAGATATTGACAGTCAGGAACTGCCTTCCCACTTTTCCTGGAAAATTTAACAAATGATGCTTTTTTTGGCTGAAAAACACAACTCAAAGTTGTCGTAATTCAGAGTACATTGGGACATAGGAGTTGGCAGATGTACACAGAGGGATGGATGCATGTGTGACTCAGGTGCCAATGGCACAGGCTCTTTGAGCCTCAGTTTCCCTCCTGAGATCAGGAGCACTTCTGTCATCTTCTGCTGGCAGAGGGCAGGGTCCCTTTTTTTGTCCAAGCCTTGAATAAATTGAGAATTCAAACAAAAGGCTGAGGAATGAGTTTTCCCACCCAAAACATGCAGCAGCCACAGGCACCAAAGCTTTTTGGCATTCCCTCGGACACCCAGAGGATCCAGCTGGATGAAGCCTAGCCAGCAGGATGAGAGCTCAGCCTGCTGCCAAAGTACAAAACCAGAACCCAAACCACATTCATTGCTGCAGGCAGGATTCCTGGTGCCAGGCAGTCGCACAGATCCAAAGGCAGACTTTCCACATCCCCTGCAGGGTGCCCACAAACCCAGACCTCATCCGGGACAGTTCTGCCCAGCCAAACGCCCACAAACACAGGCAAGGGGTGACTGAGCTGGGGATGGTCTGAGGGGGGTTTCTCCTCATCCCAGGAGCAAGGGGAGCTGTGGGAGCAGCAGTGAGGCCAGATTGAGTCTGGAGCTACCCTGCATCACTCCTCCAGGCGTGCAGAGAAGCTCTGGGAGGAGGGGGAGCACAGAGCTGGCCATCAGGGCTGCCAAGGCACACAGACACCCAGGCATGCACAGAGCTCGCTCCAGATGGCATCTGGCAGAGGGAGCCAGGAGCAGTCTGGGTCACAGCGCTCCCCATGCAGGACTTGGCTTTTCCCCATCCCCAGGCATCTCCAAAACCCCTCATCCTGGTCCTGGTTCCAACACAGGAGCAATATAATCCAGTTAAAAGCCTTTTCAGGGCTCAATCGACACTCCAGCTGTGCTCCCCTCTTCACTGGGCTTCCCCTTCTGCCTTCCCAAAGCCCACACCAGGCACTTGAGCTGCAGCTGCTTTCATATCTGTGCAAGCCAGAGTGCTCCTCTCCACCCTGGCTGGTTCTCCATAAAGCTGCTCTCTGCCTCCACCATGTTGTCTACAGGGAGATCAGAAAGTCAGAGTAAATTCAGCCAAAAGGGCTGTTAGCTGAAGAACAAGCTCTGAGAAGGTAGTCATTGGTCAAAGTAAGCTGGGGCTGGGATATCTGCATGCTAGGCATCACTTCTCCCCAGCTCCAGTGCCACCTTGGTACACTCACAGGGCATGTGATAGGCCAGCAAGGACCTACCACCCACAGCAGCACAGCAGGGACATCAGGCTTCCCTCCCTCCTCCTCATGGGAGGAATGATGAGCCATCACTGCCATCAGTGGAAGGAAGCAGAATGGGCACCATGAGCTGCAGTATGGATTAGATCTCTCCAAGTTTGCTGGGATGGAGATACAGCTGTGGACCTCAATGGGTCCTTTTGGCCAGGGAACATTGTGGAATAGCTTTTCCTGGGACTCCAGGCTCAACTCTGGGGCCTCTCCCACCTTCACCAAGTCCCACAGCTCCTTTGGCTGCCACTTCTGAACTGATGAGCACATTAGCAGTTAAGTCCATTTGCAGATTTAAAAGTCAAACCCTGCCACAGGAAATTAAAAGATAATGCAAAGAATTATTTAAAAAAATTAATCTTTATTACTCTCCACTCCCAAGCTGCTAATAAAATAAAATGTGTTCCTCATGCAGTCTCTATAAAAACAGGTTATAAAGCAGAGGAAGAGAGGGAGGCAGATGCTTTAAAAAGGCATCTTTCATCCCTCCGCCCTGCCTGCCGTAACCATCCATCTGTACCTGTATGTCAGCTCCCAGCAGTTTCCAACCCAGCCAGCCCCCTTTGCCCTGCAAGGTAATTATTCCCCATTTCCATCTGATCCCCCTTGTCCTCCCTGTTTTACATCTCCAGGGGATCAGCAATCCAGGGTCCAGATAGCAGTCTAGAAGGTGGTTTAATGGCACACCCTCCTTGCTCCAGGTATATCTGAGCCTGTATAAACCAGGATGAATTACAGCTCATTACAGAAAGGCCAGGCACTTGGGAAGTAAACAACGCAGCTATTACAGACGCCAGCAACAGCTCCACAACACTGGAGCAGGGCTGATACGTGCAGGGAACCATGCCTGAGAGAGAGGTCAAGGATGCTCAGCAGCTCTCAGAAACCAGTGAAGAGGCTGAGAGGGAGGTGGCAATTGCAAGAGTTTCTTCTGAAAATGCTTCTCTCCGAGGCTGTGCTCAAGAAAGCAGCTCAGTCCTTGGTTTTCTACCTGGAGCTTGAGCTCACAGAGTCAGATATGGGGCTGCAAACAACTTCTGTGTCATGATACCAGGAACAAGTCAGCCAGGTTTTGATAGGTCCAAGAGCCACCACAACTGAGGAAGAGAGCCCAATTTAGCACATGAGGGAGATGAAGAAGCAAGAGGCAGCAAAGCCACCAGCTATGTCTGTGCTACAGTAGAAGAAACAGCCACAGGCACAGATCTGTGTCCCACCTGCCTTCTGGCCAGCCTAGGAGTGTGCCTGGCCAGGAGAAGACCACCACCAGTGTTCTTGCCAAAGCAGTGCCCCTGGGTCTGGCAGAAGCACAGGCAGGCCAGGAAGGAGCAGGGGGTTCCACAAAAAAGAGAGCTGAGGGACCAAGAGCAGCTGCATTGCATCACAAGCACAGCATGAAAGCTGCTCCATGTCCTGAGCTGGGGAAAAGGAGCTGGAGCCGAGCAAACCCCGGAGCATGCCCTGATGGCTCCATGGGAACTGCAAAGCCCAACCTCCCCATCTTCAGATGAGCAGAACAAGCACCAAGTCCACCCTCAGGCCTCCCCCAGGCAGCACACAGTGGCTTTATTCCAAGTAAGGCAGCCCCACACCTCCTCATCGGGGATAAAGGGAGCATTTGGCCTTTTCTGTCTCCAGGAGGGGAAGACGCATCTGGAAATGAAGTGATGGCAAGGAGCAGGTGCCAGGGGTGGAGGAAGGAGACAGGCAGAAGCACGAGCAGGCTCAAACACAAGGAATGAGAGCCCCCTGAGAGGGACAGTGCTGCTGCCCAGGACACCTGCGGTCCCCAGCACAGGCAGGAGCACAGGGGGACACCACAGAACAGCGAGGTAGGAGGTGCCTTTCCAAAGGGAGGTTGACTATGATTGATGGTGCCGTGCTGTGCTCTCACTGATGTAGAAAATTAGAGAGAGATCGCTTCAGATACCGACCCATCTGAGACACTTGTTGTGTCCATCTCCGGTACGCAGGCGCCTCTCGGGAGCTCTCCCCCCGGTTTACAGGCTCATTATTCAGAGTGCTGAACTGGGAAAAGCAATGCTGTTTTATTCCAACTTCTTTTCTCCCCCCAAAACTACTGGATTGTATTATTCTTGGGAACACATAAGGCGCTGATTTCCTTGCTCAGCTACTTGAAGGAAAGTTTGATTCGCCTCGACTAGGAAAAAGTATCCCTTCACTTTTTCTTTTCTCTCCTCAACCAAAGCTGGGAAGACCCTTTATAAAATATAGGAGCCATTTTCTAAGATGGAAATAGCTCCTTTAAAAACAGTGAGTCATGCTCCACACCGAGATGGATCTGATAGCTGGCACTCTACTAATGTAGCCTTGTGCTATTGTCCTCCTGGCAGGTTGGTCCCTTCTTGGCTTGCAATCCCTCTGCCATTTAACCAGTTCCTGGTTTATTGTGGCTGCTTTTGTCCTTCCACTGCTTCCCTGCCAGATGACAAAAGAGTTTTAAAATGGTCCTTAAGTGTGTTTTAAAAAAATCCACATAGGCTTCCATATGAAATGATGAAGCCAGCAGTCTAGATGAGCTCAGGAGAGGGGTCACAGCACAGACAGGACACAGCTGGGCCCTTGACTTCAAACAATGCTGTCCCTCATTAGTAGACAACCAGTTTCTTTCCAGACAGACACAGCATCTGAGCTCTCATTCCTTTAGTCACAATGTTTCCATGCTGGTCTAAAAATGATAGAGGAACCTCTCTGACTGCTGCCCAAACAGGCCTTACAGTCCTGCAGCCAGTCATCTTTCTTCAAACTCCCCCAGAGCTCCAGGCACCTACACCAGCCCAGGCTCTTCCACTTTGCCAGCATGGCTAGGAGAGACTGACCAAGAGGCTGGATGTGGGGACTACCAGCTCTGGAAAGGGCAGGGAAATGGTTGAGTTTCCTTCATGACTCCAAACTGAGCCCCTGGATTCTCCTGTCCGCTCTGCACCTTGGGACAGCTGACCTTGTTCCCATGGCAAAAGGGCAGATTTCTTTTTATTAGCTCTTGGGTATCTCAAGAACAGCTTCAAACTTGCTTTGAAGCCCATCACCCAACATGACTGTCCAGGCTAAGCCCAGCCCTGCTTGTCTCCTTTGTTGGGAGGACAGCGGTGCCACCAGCTGCAGCCCTGCCAGCGCTCTGAGCATCCCTTGGGTCACAGGGCACAGAGGGCTGGCAACAAGCAGCAAACACCAAATTCAAGCCAAAGTCTGAAGCACTCAAGAAATCCCTATAGGAAGATGATTTGGAACAAGCCATTGCTCTTCCTCCCTCCCATACATCCACCACGGACTGACCCCAGTGCCTCCTACCAATTTTCCCAGTGGTAGTTAGTCATCTGCCCTTTGGAAATCCCTTCTGGGGGTGCAGCAAATCCCCACACATCCCCCCTTTCTCCATCTGTTAATGGTTTCCCTCCACCCAGGCTGAGCCTCCCCCAGCCTGAGCTAATGGTAGGAAATTAGCATTAAAATGATGGTTCGCTATTAGCGGTGCCTCAGCTCCCCATCACGCTCCAGGAACAGCAAATGACAGGCTGTGATTTCCCTGCCGCGGTGCAGAGGAGAAGGAACAACGGCAGCCAGAAGTGCTGAAGATACCCAAGGAAAGTTTTAGGCTCATCTCTCCCACCCCAGCAGCCCTTTTCCCTTTGCCATCCCCGCCGTGCTCATCCACCGCACAGGCAATCCTACAAACAGATGGCACCTGGGCAGGAAAGCAGACAAATTGGCTCCCACCTGCAGGAGCACTAAGAGCTTTCAAAGCACACGAGCGCTCGCTCGCCAAGAGCCCCGCGGGGTGGAAATGCCGGAGGAATCTGCCATCGCTCGCCTTCCTCGTGGCTCCACAGCTCCAGATCCCTCCTCGCCTGGTTGCAGGCGTGCAGCTGGATGCTCATGGGAGCTGCTGGCAGGAGGAGGCTGTTGCCGTGTCCTGAATCGAGTGGAAGAAGCAATTCAGGCTTGAGCATCAATGATGCGATGCTTTTTTCCATGTCAGCACACTACTTTGGTTTGGAGGGCTTGCAGCCCGGAGTGAGAGGGTTTTCGTGGGTCCCCACTGAACATCCATCTGCTTGTTGAAAAATGAGCTCAGCTCAAGCTGCCTGCTCTCTCTTCCTGCCAAAGTGGGGGTCTGCCCTCCCAGAAACCTCCTCTCCTTGACCAGGTAGCTGTGGCAAGAGTGTGGATGTTATTAGAGTTATTTCATTTTCTGCCTGCCTGCTCCTCTGAGCCCACCTGGCTGTAAGCTTCTCTGTACCTAGCGGTGAGGGAAGCAGCTCACGTACCAGCCTGCAGAAAGCCAAGAGGCAGGAGCAGCTCAGCAAATCCGTGGGTGTCAGGGCAGGCTGTCAGCTCCTTTTGGGCACCTGAGTGACCCTGCACTTACTCAGCATAGATGGTGAACTCCTCCTCGCAGAGCCCCACAGTGCTGGTCACCTGCAGCACGGAAAGGGGACACAGCAGGGCTGAAATCTGCAGGAGCATTTGGGTGTTTTCAGGGCATCTTATGTGGAGTCATGCACAACTGCTGAAAAATTCCAAAACTGCATTAAAAACCCCTTAAAGGGCTTAGGACAAACTGGTGACCAGCAACAGGATCCAAAGGAACAGCATGAAGCTGTGTCAGGGGAGGTTTAGGGTGGGTTTCAGGAAAACATATTTCACTCAGAGGGTGACTGGGCACTGGAACAGGCTCCCCAGAGCAGTGGTTGTAGCCACAAACCAGCCAGAGCTCAAGGAGTGTTTGGACAATTCTCTCATGGTGGGATTGTTGGGGTGTCCTGTGCAGGGACAGGAGTGACACTCCATGATCCTTGTGGATTCCAACTCAGGATATTCTATGATTCTACAAAACAATGCCCTTCCCTCTACCTCATCCTTAACTCGCTTTAAAAGCACCTGGACCAGCAAGTGTCCTCAAGCCCCAGCCTGCCAAATGCATTGTCATGGGCCTAAGAGGTGGGATGCAAAAGGCAGAGGGAAAAGAATAGTACTAAAGAGCAGGATAAAAAAGTTTTCCCTTTCCCCAGCATTCCCATCAGCAGCTGAGATGTGGGAGCAAGGAGGACTCACCTGATGATGGATGAGAGAGAACTGATCCTTGGTAAGGCAGAGCAGGAGCAGAAGGAAGCGCTGCTCCCAAAGGCGATTCTCACACCTCCTTGGGATAAGAAAAACAACCATGAGAGGCAGCAGAAGCCCTTTTCCCTGCATGTTTGGAATCCATCTCCGGCCTGTCAGGGGGGCCACGACCCAACCGCACATTTGTATATTCACTGAGCCGTACACCCAGCTCAGGCAGACTCCTGACAGATGCAGATGAGAAAGCCATTTTTCATAAAGTGAGGGTAAAAAGGGAACAAGAAAAAAATAGCAAAACAAAAAAAATGTCTCAGGCAACAGCTGGAAAAGATACAACAGGCTCAGGGCTGAGAGAGAAGCAGGATCAGATTAAATTTTTGGATCTTTAAGCACACTAAAAGGCCAGTCCCCTTCCTCTGTTTTCTACTGTGGCCTAGTGGCAGCAGGTCTCTTCATCCTCTTCTCCATAACCAGCTGAAAAATGAAAACTGGACCCAGAACAACACCAAGGCTTTGCTGAACAGGCCCTTGGGGACAGATGCTGGTAGAGGGGCTGCTGGAGCAGGTGAGCACAGGCACCTTTCTACAAGATCAGCTCCTGCTCAGAGGAGATGAGAGACAGCCTGCAGAGAACATGAACCATTAACATATAAGGTCTGCCTAACTAAGCTGGACCTAGCTTAGGCCTGGCCCTAAGGAGCATAGGACCCCGAGGGCCATGGAGGAACATCCTTGGCAGACCTCCTGCTGGAACAAGCCTCCCAGCATGGCAGAGGACCACTCTGTGCAACGCTGCCATGACAGCAGCTTCCAATGGCCCCAGTTTGTTTCAGGCAGTGACAAGGGGTTTCCCTCTGTCCCAGGTCACCATGCAGCCAAGAGGCATCAGTGACACAGAGCCACTCACCCAGACAGCAGGAAGCTCAGCACAATAGATGCTGACCCCTGAGCAGCATGCCTGCCTGCCCTGCTCAGCACCAGGAGCCAGAGGGTCCCAGTGCAAGCCATGGGGAAGGGGAAAGGGAAGGAAGAATTACCCTCACGGAGGGAAAGATTTCACCTCTGCCAGTGACATTCTGCTGTTGTCACCGCCAGCCATAACATCACCCTCTTGATGTGAAATCTAAGTTGACAGTGATACAGGAAAGGAGCCGAGAGGGCAGCAAACTCTGCCCAGCCCTCTTTGTAACCCCCAATCTCTCATGGCTTCCAGCCTCTGCATGGAGCAGAGCCAGCACCTCATTACCAGGTTACTAAACAAATAGATATTTCTTTTCCAGAGCCATGGAATAATATTTTCTTGCAGTTATCCATCCTCCTGGACAGCTTCGAGGAGAATTTCATTTTGGTCTCTGCCGCATCATCTTTGATTCTGTAGTAAGAAACAGATGTAGGAGCCCACACCTCCTTTGCAAAACAACACATACAGCAAATAAGCTGAAGTCACCAAAGCCTGAAGAGCTTCTGGTGAGAAAGTCCAGGTGCCTTCAGACTCACTGGAGGTGCATTAAGCCCCATTGATCCCTGCTGCCTGTGGCATTTCCAGTGGATATTCATTCTCTTTGTCCCAGGAAAAGGCAAGCACAGGGCTGGGCAGCAAGGCTTGGTGAAGGTTACTGCTGAGACCTGGCAGAAATGTCATCCAGTAACACGTTTCAAGAAAGATTCATCCCCAAGCAGCCTGGCTCCATAATAAAAGTGTCAGAGCAGCTGACTTGCTTCCCCCCATTCTCATTGCATACAGATTTATCCTGTCTCAGGTCTCTCTCCCTCCACAAGCCAGCACGTGCCTTTCCTTTCAATAGGCTGGCAGTGAATCTCAGCCAGCTGAGATCGTAGGAGAAAAGGGAATACAAGAAAGGTGAAGGCATCATAGGGGGAAAAATTACTCAGGAGCCATGTTTTCCTCTCATTTTGGCTGCTCTCAGTTCTGAAATGGTGGAGGGCGACATGAGAGGTAACTTAACATGAAAATGCATCAAAACCAGCAGCCATTTGTTCTGATGTTCCAAACCAATTCCCTAGCTGGAAAAAAAAGAGAAAGATATATTAATGGTCCTTTGCAAACAACTAAAAATACTCACAACGGCCAGAGCTTCTTTTGGATTTTTTTTTTCCTTCTCTTCCCTCAACTTACGCCCAAAGGAATGTGCCACACAAATTAAAATGATTTCCCTCCAACCTGCAAGATAGGAGCAGGCAAGGCATCCTTCAGCTGTGACTGAAAGAGATGGAGCCTGCCTTTGTCAGGAGCACGCCAGCCCCGGGGAGGTGAGGTGGTGGGGGACGGCAGACAGAGCTGCAGGGATCCTGTTGGTTAATTCCCAGTAACTGGGACAGACAGGTCTGTGCCAGGCACCCAGCTGGGGTCCAGGGGGTATTTCGTCAACATCAATAGCAGAAGTGAATCCTGGGCACCTCAACTGCCTTGGGGGGATGTAGAGCAAGAGCAAAGAGCTGTGGAACAGCTTTCCATGGAGCAGAGAAAGTCTCTACTACCACCGAGGCAGTCCTGTTAAATTTGCAAAATGCATTGCAGGAGGCAGAGGCTGTGATACCTCCTGGCCCCATGGACATTATCACCCAAGGACATTGTTTTCCTGGCCCATGCCAGGGTACCCACTCAGGTATGTGCCCTAGCACACGTTTTCTCCCCTAAGCTGAGAGTTTGCTTCTAGCAGTGAGAGCTCATAGGCAGAAGGAAAACCAAGACCACCCCCACCAGACTATAAAAGTGCTGCTTTGCTGTGCCACAGCTGTTCCTCACATCTGGATGCAGACAGCACTCAGAACACTGCAGCTGGCCCCAGCTCCTTGGTTAGCATTCCTGTTAACACCAGGCAGGCGAGAGGTCTGGCAGCCGAGGTGAAGGGCCACTTCATCTCCGTCATGTTCTCCTCTGCTAATGAAAATGTTTCTCCAGCGTGTCCTCGGGAAGGTTTCCTTCAGCTCCAGCCTTCGTGTGATTGAAGGCTAATCTCTGTTACTCGTGGCTGAATGGCAGCCCACGAGGAAGGTGATGTATTGTGTTTCACTTCAACTCGACATTTAATGGTGCTGGCAGAAGAAGAAAAAGCAACAGATGTTTCTAGACTGAAAGTGAACTCTTCCCCAAACACTGAGAGGTCAGGGCAGGAACAGGGGCCTCATGGACCCTTTTAAATTCCAGCCTGCTTTGAAAGGCCACTTGGCTTGCCAACATCCCACCCCCCCACCGGCAGTCCAGCTGACAGCAGTGGCCACAGGAGGTGACATGTCCTGCTGCCAACTCCATGGAACATGACTGGCCTCCAGTGAAGTCCCCATCATCAGTCTGGTCAGCACAGCAGTCTGGAAGAGAGGCCAAGGTCTAGAGTGCAGACTTTTTTTGGGACAAAAGCATGTGACAAAGGCTCAACACTCACAGATTCCTCTGTCTGGCTCCAAACTTAGTCACTGAAGCCTCAAGAAGGGAAATTTTTCAATCTGCCATGTTAGCTTCCTTTTAAAATGCTTGGAGACTTCCTGATTAAAAAAAAAAAAAAAATTGAAAGGAAATAATCAGGTTTACAATCCTCTTGCTTTTGTGCTGCTCGCACTCAAGGAGACACCTGGCTCCATGATACACTTTCTCCTCTGCTCCACAGCTCTGCAAACACATTCCAGGCCATCCCCACCACCTGCTGCTCTCCTGCTGTTTCTCCCCTCACTGGAACCACTCAATTATCTATCATGGCACTCTGCCCCCTCTATCTGCAAAGCTTTGTGGCTTTGCTTTTCCTTTTTTTGCCCCTATAAAACCACTATCAGCATTTGTTGAGGACACCCAAACACAAAACAAACTCCCCTGTTTGCTTTCCCTTCTCCCACTAGCACTGGTTGTGGGGCATTTACCATGGACCACACAAAATGCATTCCCCAACAGCTAAACCTGGAGGAGGAGAAGGAGAAATTAAGAAAATACGCAGGAGGGAAAAGAAAAAAACTTCCAATTACTGGCAATTATTTCTACTTGATCACCCACTGTGCACTGTGCCCCAGACACAAATCACTCTTGGCAGGGTGGCACAGCTTGTACCTGCACACACAGTGCACAAGTGAGCACACAGGCTGTTTGGTGAGGGTATTCCAAACCTATTTGGGCACCTATTTTGAGTTCAGCTGGCTCCAGCCTTTCTGAGGGTCTCTTACACACCAGTCAAGTTAGAGGGGATGCTCTCACAAGACTTGGGACTTCAGGCCCAAGGCCTGGAACAGAGGTAAGGCACTTCCCTGGAGCTGAGGCCTGCCACGAGAGATTGCCCAAGGGATGTCCATCCTCATTCCCAGACTCATCTGTCCGGGTTCTCTGGCAGTTTTTCCTTCCTAGGAGGCATGGCAGCTACGGAGAGCACTTGCAGGCGGCACAGCTCTGCCAGAGACACCTTCCCCTCCATGGGAGAACACACTTTGCTCCCAGCCAGAGGGAAGGACGAGGCACCCAACACGCTGCTGCAGTGGAGGAGGCACTCAGCCAGCCACTAATGCTTCCCACTGTCTTGGAGCAAAGGGATGGATTAGCTTTTATTAGCTCTTATGAAGAGCACATCACTCCTGCCCTTTCCTCCTCTCACAAGGCTCACGCGCAGGCTCAGCTGCGCCTCAAGTGAAGCAGAACCAACTTACCTACGTGCTGGCGGCCCCAAACTCCTCTTGGGTCTTGGATAAATCTTACAAATCCTAAATCTTAGGCAAGCTGGGAGTTAGAATGGAGCAATCCTCCAAAGGGTGCTGCAGGTGCTGCCCAGAAGTACTTAAATAAAGATGGATGCTTGGCTTTTACATCTGGATCTCTCAGGGGGCACTATGCCTGAAGGAGGGCATGGTCTCCACAACAGCCAAACCAAAGCCAAGGCCTGGTCCCCAGAGCAGAGACCCAAACCCAGGGCTGCTAATCTGGGGGATGGTCCGTGGTTTTCCTGCCGAGTGCTCCTGCCACATGCAGCATCCCTGAGCCCCAGCACCCAGGCAGCAGCACGGCTGAGGGATGCTGCTGCTCCGGAGAAGTCTCTCTAAAGGCGCTCTGGGGCTTGTTAGCAGGGTGATAAAGGGGATGAATGGCCTCAGAGAAACGCTCTGTCTCTTGCTGTGACATTCATTATCCTTTAGCCAGGCAATTCTTCACACCAGCCAGGAGCTCTGGGCTGCCTCGTTCATCGTCCGCGGGGGCCGCTTCCCACGAGAGGCCACGCTCGGTACCTGCGGCTCGCCCCAGGCGGCTCCAACGCTCGGAGCTCATCACCTTCCTCCCACACAAGCGGATTGCTTTCCCAAACACGAGGCTCCCGTGATCCGAGCCACAGCTGCCCCCGGCCCCAGATCTGCGCATTTTCAGCCTGATTTCCCAAGGAGCACATCCTGCTGCATCAGTCTGTCCTCTGCCCACTCCCTCGCAACTTCTAACACCGCAAACAGATTTCAAGCTGATGTGACAGAGCAACAGAGGTCTCGGAGACAGTCAGAGTCTATAAATTTCATGGGAACAGATTACCAAACAGAGGAGAGACATTATTAGCACCTTCCAAACTGTAGTGTATCATCCCTTATTAGACATCAGACAATTTGTGTGGGAGAGAAGCTATAAATATCCCAGGAAAGGGAGCTGCTCCATTCAGCACTAATAACTTACTGGACACCAGAGACTCCAAATCCAAACGGTACATCCACAGAAGATGAGATTTCATGGATCCCACTGCACATAGCACCAACAGGAGAAGGTTTCAGGCCTGTTTGGCTGATAGGAGAGCCAGCCAGCTAAATGGCATGTTAGCCTTTGGGAAGTCCATGGAAATGGAAGGTGGACCCTTCCCTCATCCTTCTTCAAGAGACCAAGCTGAGGTCCTTCTGCATTTCCAACCTTAATTGCCCTCCCAGATTTATGGATGAGTTCAGCTGCTGCCTAAAATGGAAGTGACATGCCCAGCTCCAATGGGGAGAACTGATGGGCTGAGCAGCTCCCTCGCCCCCACAACTCTCCCATTGCCTCTCCACTGTGTGGACAGAGATTTCACCTTCCAGAAAAGATGTTTTATCCACAGACTGCTGGCAGGAAATGCCAGGAAGACATCCCAGAATCGGAGCAGCGCCTGGTGAGCTCTCAGCAGGATCACTTACACATCAAGCTGCTCATTAGCTCTTGACTGATGGGTGGAACTTGTGAGTGAGAGGAAGCTCATTCCTCCACACACAGGTGCTTGCTGCCCACCAGTCCCAGCACAGACCTGTCAGTGCCAGCACGGGGCTGGCAGGCAGCAGCATGGGTGTTCTTCCCCCAAGAGGAAAGAGCGAGCCTCAGAAACCCTCCTTCTTTCTGAAAAGGATACAACAACTTCCTGGTTCTCCCTCAGAGTCAATTAACATTGCCACATCAGCCAGTGTGACACAACCTTGCTAAGGCTGAGCCCAGCATTTCAGCTCTCTCTGACCCCTCTGTCAGAAACCCAAACCCTGTGTGCAATTTGGGGATAGAGCAGGGTGATCCCTGTGCTCATTTAGGATCTCCACTGATAACCCAGTTGTTATCTGTTTGGAGTGTCGTTTCCAGCCTCAGGCATTCCAGAGCCCTGGCAGAAACTGAGAAGTGAGAAATAACCTTTTTCCCTCCAGCTCATTTGTGACACTATCCCAGCTGGCCAGACACAATTTGGGACTTCTCTGATTCACCTAGTAAAGGTCAAGTCCCAGGAGGTGCCTTCAGCCTGGTGAATCATGTATCACTTGTACCTGTGGGGCTAAGGACAATTTAAACATGTGCTACAGCACATCCTTTACTCAAAAAAAAAAGGGATTTACACTCCAGGGGTGGTGACTTCCCGTTCTGACCAACAAAAGGGGGGATGGGGACTGAATTCAAGCTTATGTTCATTAAAATAGAAGGGGGAAAAAAAAGAAAATCCAGAAATCCAGCCACTCTATCCTAATTGCTCTTATCCAACCTTTCACAGTGTTGCATCGAGCTAAAGGGCCGCACCTGAAAGTGTGCCAGGAGCGGCATGAAATGTTAATGTTGCAATTAAAACAATATGAATATTGCAGCACTGCTCTGCTGCTTCCCATCCACTGAACAATTCTCATTCAATAGAAGTCAAGTTACATTTCAGGAAATAATGAGGTCTGTTAATTAAGTCTGGCCTATGAAGACAGCAGTCTTAAAAAGAGAAAAAAATATTCAGATCTCCCCAAAATATGTACATTTGCTGCTTATTACCTGCAAAGGGGAGTCTTTAACGCTGCTCAGTGCCAGGATCACAGGTCAGCACCACTGTCTTATTGCACACATCTAGAGGAAATTCTCTTTGTAACGATAAAATGCATAAGTCATGACCTGCCTTGTCCCCAGGCGCAGAGCGGGGAAGGCCAGGCTGACTCGTCCCATGCTCTGAATGCAGACAGCAGGTCCCTGACAGTGAATGCCAATCCCAGGCTGGGCTAGTGAGAGGCAGACCAGGCTCTGAGGGGCTGAAGGCAGCAAATCACGTTCAGCTGACACAGGACAGATCCCAGATTGTACACAGGGAAGGGAATTTTCCTCCACAGCCATTCACACAACTGAGTGACAGTGACACTGGCTTGAGCTGGTGGGAGCCACAGGGAAAGTGACCACTGGGTGAGTCCTGGAAGGACAAAGACTTGTCAGGATCTTCTTGTGTTTTAACTCTAAAAAGAGGAAAGAGAGGATCCCCCCCTTCCTGCCCCCTGCATGCATCAGACACAGGCACGTGTTGAAATAACATGAGCACACAGAACAGCCTAAAGACAGGAAACATTGGGTTCCAGGGGTCCCAAAGGAAATTGATATCAACACACTGCTCCTATGGCTTCCCCATTCTCTTGCTTTTCATAATATTCCCATATTTCTTTATCTGTGACTGTTGTTGGGGTGCCATCCTGTCTCCCATGTTCCTCCCAGCCAGATTACTGCAAGGAGAGTTTGGGCAGGGAGGGTCCATCAGCAGGAGCATTTCAAGAGAAGAGCAGAAGACTGGGAACAGGCCCACCCTGTCATCCTGCTGATTGGATGACACGTCTGTTTTATGACACTTCATTTTCTCTTTCTCAGAATTTCAGGAACACACAAGAACCACTCATCCTCCGGACCTGAATTCTGCCATCAGTCCCAGCCTGACCGACCCACATGGAGCTGTCTAGAGGACACAGAGGAGCTTGCTGTACAAAGAGGAGGCTACAGCAGTCCAAACCTCTCCAACCCCTCCCCTAACCTACTTCCCCAAACTCCAAAGGAAAACTCATCCAATGGCAGGGTGAGGGAGGCCAGTGGAGTCCTGGCTCATTCCTTGGACTCTGCTGATGCTCCAAACTTCAGCCTGTTTTTAATACAGACAAGCTTCCTTGTAAGATCCAGACAGAGACTGAGCCATGCTAATCAAACGTGGTAACACAATGATCCAAATCAGGGGGAGCTCAAAGCATCAGGAAGGAAACACTTCATCTGAAAGAGGAGAAAAATCCAGATGAAAAGATCAGAAAGGACTTTTTGGGTCCTGAATTGTCATAAGGGACTCAGGTACTATTTCTATATCCATCTGAGAGAAATAAACCTATTTTGTCACCAAGGCACACCCAGGGGGATGTCCCCACCTTGCTGCCACCAGCAGCAGCTCATTGTTTTGTGGATGAGTAGGTGGTCTCCTCCCTTCAGACCGCTTCTCACTCTATTTCCAGATGAACCAGCACTCGCTGCTACCAAGTGTCTGTTCTGCAATAAAGAGCAATAAACATGCCAGAGTAATTAATGTCTTAACAACTTATTACAATCCTCAGATAATTAATCACAAAAGCTAAACATGCTGTCTCACCCTCCTAATGTGTTAATGCTCTAATTATTATGCCTCAATTAAGGGAAAGTCAGCGCTCCTTGCTTAGAAGTGCATGTTTAATAAGGGTGCCTGAATGCAGGCGAGTCGGAGTGAGAAGCCAGGGGATGATGGGGGTTAAGGAAGAGGACACCATTTTTAATGAGGTTTCATGGATGGCTCCAGGCAAGGTATTGACAGCTCCTATCTGGGATCTCACACATGACTGCACATGTAACTGGGGGCCATCTGTGGTGGCTCCGTGTTCTGCTTCCCACCGGACTATTTATAGGGAAAGCAGCATGTGGGGCACAGAGAAGGCAGGGACTGGAGATGAGCAGTCACACCATGGATCTGGCCAGCACCAGGCAGCTCGTGGAAGCTGTCACAGCAGTCATTAAAGGAGTGGTGGTCTCCTCTGTCCAGCCCACTTCTTGCTCTATTTCCAGACAGACTGGCACTCGCCACCACTCCTGACCCCTGCTAAGCCTCCCCAGTGCCCAAGCCTCTCCACCCAGTCTTGTTTCCATGGTACTCCTTGCCTCCAATCAAGTTAACTCTGGGATATCCCATGGAGATGATAAGAACAATCCCCAAAAACCAGGATGTGATATATCTGCTCATCTGATTTCAGCCACTACCTGGGAGTTTTCCACAGGTTCCTGTTGTCTGAAAGCCATGTCTCAAAGAGCACATCATTTAAAAATGCTTGGCTTATAGATGGGAAAACTGAAGGCCAAAAAGTTTTTCTGCAGGGGACTTGTGGTGGTTACCAGCCATAAATCTGCCTTCCTGGTGCCTGGCTCTGAACCTCTCTGAATGCTGGGAAACTTCAGAAAGAGATTCTTGGTAAGGAAGAGCTTAAGCAGATCCTAGTGATGGATGCTGGGCCTGAGCCCCTCACCATGTGATAGCAGGAGATCCCTGCTGCCCTCAGGACATATACAATACTTGTGTTTGGGAAAGAGCTGTGAGACAAAGTATACTCAAAGCAAAAATGGCATCACATCCATCCCACCCTGCAAAAGCAGTGACCCTAAAGAACAAAAGGCTCAAGGCACTGGAATCATGGAACTCTGCAATGCAGCAGATGTGGGAAGCAGGAACTGGGATAGTCAGGCTCCAGATCTTTGTACCATACAAAAAGCTGCAACAGAAGAATGGCTGGAGCCCAAGTCTCCCAAACAAACCCTATGAAAACTTCTTTTTCCAATAAAAAAGAACTCCCCCGCTAAAATGGGTCTTCACACACAAGAAAACTTTCCCTGAACCAGCCTGGTTTCTGTTCCATCCAAGCCTTTTTAAATTTCTCAGACAAATGAATCACCAGAAGCATTTCCAGCCTAGGTTCGACTGCAAAACGATTGCATGAAATAACATACTGTGTAGGTTTGGATGGTTCCCTCTGAGGAATAAGGGAGAGGGAATAAGAAACAAAACAAAGTAAGGCAACCTGGAGGGGACATGAATTTTAAAACCCATGAGCAGTTTTAGTTTTCAAATAATCCAAATAAAAAAAATGTTTTACGTAGTTACTTCCACAAAAATAATTCTGTCACTCTGATTCTTTGGTGATGCCTCAGAAAAAACAAAAGAAAGCTCTCCACCTCTGAGACACCAACCTGACAGCAGCTTGACTGGTGAAAAGGAGCTGTTGCCTCCCCACAGAGGCAGCCCTGTGAATTCCCACAGGGATGAGAGCTCAAAAATAATCCTTGTGTGTTGGGCCTCTCTCCACACTGCTTTCTATTCCAGCAAGAGGCGTGACCTGTCCAGACTCTCCTCCATCTCTTCACAGAGGATAATTTCAGACATCCAGCTCTAGTTCCCTGCACTGGGCTGGAGGCATCACAGCCCCTTATCTGGGCAGCTTCACGTGGCTCTGTGAGCTGCTGCACGGAGATTCCAGAAACCACCCAACCTGCCAAACCTGACCATCCAGGACAGGACCATCAAAAACATTGAACTCTGAGCAAACACAGCCTCCTTAGGAAGACATATAAGGGATGTGATACTTTTTGAGGAATTTAAGGATACTTCTGCTGCTGTTTTCATTGACTTGTGGAGTGGAAAGTTTTCTATGGATGTCGGCATCTGTGCTGAAGGTGGCAGTGCTCAGACTCTTGCCTTCTTTTTTCCAAAAACACAATCCAACTCCCTCAGACACTGCAAGACCGACTACTTTTGTACCTCTCCCTTCTCCCCAGTACCATCAGTGGTCACCTGAAAATATGGGGCATTGCTTCTATTCTGGGTCTAGAAATTTTGGATTGGTTATAGTGATACACTATAAACTTGACAAATACACTTGACTTACTCCAAAGTGTGTCAATGCAGCGGAACATCCAGTGCCAGACGTTCTGGAGAAGCTGCCTGGCTCATGTTAGCAGGCTGTGGGGTTGGAAAAAGCTATTTACCTAGAAGAGAGTAGTATCACATGGCTATGCCTCTTTACACCTTTCTCATCTGGACTCAGGATAAGTTTCTTGGATCAAGTTGCTGCCCCAACAGCCCCAGATCTCCTCCCAAACCAACTCACTGGGAACACCTGCCAGAGCCCTAAAGTGAGGCTTGAATGGGGAGGGCAGCCTCTGGAGAACAGCAGATGAATAACAAGAATGTATAAAACATATAATGACCATCAGAAAAAAACAGCATCACTGCTTCCCAGAAAAACACATCCAGCCTGAGGAGATTAGAGGGCTGGACCATAAAGTTGGTGCCAAATGAGCCAGATGCCCCAGCCCCAACCCTACAGCCCTCTTCAGCAAGACTTTTCTGAGCTCAGCTTACGCCCTCTGTCTGCCCCCTTCCATTAAGACAATGCACAGCAAGACAGCTGGGAAACCCAATCTGGTCAAAATTTTGTTACAACCCCGCTGGTTTTTATCCCTGTTTACCAGCAGTAATTTTAATGGCTTTTCGTACATTAACTTTGTCCTGAACCTGTTGGAGGAAAATTCCTACTCACTTGCCTTCTGGAGAACAGACTGGGTAATTTTCCCTTGTCATTTAACAGCCCGCCTGGGCTGCTCAGGAATGACAGCCACTGTGTACTTGTGGAGGGCAATAAACTCCCCAAGGCTGGGGGAGGAGGATTTACATATCCCTGAATACACTGCCCATTCTTTGTTCAGTTTGGGTCTTAGCTTGTGCTGGTCCAGCAAGTGGGAATTTCTTCCTCCTCCTTTTCAACATGGAAGGGAACTACAGTGCCTGCACCAAGGATAAGCAATGCTTCCAGACAAAGTGGCAACCTCCCCAAAGCTGGGCAGCTTTGGGCTGGGTCTGCCAGCAGCCAGCTGAATCTCATTTTCCCCTGGAATTATTAAAAATTCCTGTAAAACAGGTCTGGAGAAAGATAATGGTACTAGAACATGCATGGAGAATGTTTCAGAGAAGCGGGGAGCAGGCAGATGCCGCTGCTCTGCAATGCCCAGCTCTGCCCAGGCTGGCAGAGCTGGCTATCATCCAACAGGCAGTTTCCCTGTTTGTCTTGTCTTGTGTCCCACACACCCTTGTTTACAGCAGGGAGCAGAAATGAGGATGAGGCAATGCCTGACCTCTCTCTCTCTCATCTCTGTTCCTTCCAGCCACCATCCTGACCTCCTCCACAGCTCCGTCCAGGCCCTCTCTACCAGAGAGAAAAGGATTGTCCTTCCCTTTGTTCACCAGATGCTGAGTGTAGTCCTACTCCTCTCTCCAGCACAGAGAGGTGTGGTGACTCAGACCATGGGAAGGAAAAGAAACACTCACATGTTTCTGCACCTCTCTCCCCATTAGAAAACAAGGTAACAGCTCTTTCCACCAAAGAAATGCAAAGCATGTGATTCAGGCATATTTCCAAAGTTTTCTGTCTCTGCCAGCATAAAAAAGGAATATGTTTAGAACAAGTGAAGTTATTTGTTGCATCACATGATGCCCATACTTTAAAAGTACAGATGTTCCCTCCATGCTCCAAGGGGTGATTTGGAAGACAGAGGACTCAAAAACTCCTACTCTATCCAACCACAAGCACCTGGGCTGCTGTAGAGGGAGGGTTGCCATGGAAAGTTGAGGAAGGCAGCAGTGAGGTGGCTGGAGTATTCCCACCAATTATCATGAAGAATTTTGACTGCTCTGCTGTGTTTTCTGAAACAGCCTAGCAACCACCTCTGAAATGTTTCTTACATGTCTGAGAAGCGTTAAGCAGGGTCACATGCAGAGAAAGCTTCGAGAGCAGGGAGGGCTAGGTCTCCAGATAAAGCCCTCTGGGCATGGACACCTCGTTTCCTGCTCCAGGAAACTCCTTCATGAGGTGCAGGCAGTTGGATCACATGGACATCAGAGCAGGGTGAGGGAGGGAGTGACAGGCAGGGGACAGAGCCAGAGCAGCAAGAAGGAGAAGAGCTGAAGAGGAAACCAGAAGTCCCACACCTTCATGGGGCAGAACAGGGCAGCTTGTCATTGCTCAGTTCAGAGGTCCTGGGGGGAGAATCCACATCAATGGCAATCTCTTCTACATACAAGTGAACTTGTCCATAGGTTCACTTCAGCTGTACTGCTTCCACCAGGATCCCTACTTCTCTGTCCTAATAAAACAGAAGAAACAAAGAGCTGCAAGACACCTTACACTGAAAAGCTGAGAGACCAAGAGGCCACAGCATCCTACCCTACTCCAGTCTCTGAAGTAATGAAAAAGCAGATACTCCACATGTGCCATTCTGGCCTCTTCCACAAGAAGGGCACTTCAAACTGACAAAGAACAGCTTCTGCCCATTCATTAAGTTCTTGGCATTAACCGATTTCTCTCCAACCAAGCCATAAAACCCAAAGCTGCATGCAAGGAGCATCCTAAAATATCCTTGTAAATCTCAGCCACCACACTCATTAATTACAACCCAGTGATAGTTCAGGCCATTAGTTCTGGCTGGTAACTTCATTTATTCCCACGTTAATGTTTGATGTCAGTGGTTATCTCATTACCACTCTATTACTTACCTACTTAATCCATCACTGCAACCCAGGCCAGAGGAGAGGAGCGGAGTTTGCCCTGCATCTGTCGGGAGACGATGCATCAAGTGCAGAGCACCCAAGAATCACAAACAAAGCACTTCTAATCTGCAGCTGAGGTTATCACTGTTAAGAGGAGGAAATGACACAGTTGAGTGTTGTCAGGAACACAAACACATTCCAACACTGAAAAATTGTGGATATTGAGGATCGAGCTACCTATTAAATCAGAGCCAAAAGCTTTGGGAAAAATGGAAGCAATATTAGCAGTCAGGTATAGAAATTACATCAGCTCTGCCCTCCTCCTCCTCCTTGGACTCCCATTCCTCCAAGCCCCAGGTTAGTTTCAAACAGTTCCTGCCTGTTAAGCAGTTTGAAATGGAAAGTCAAAGTATGAGCACTGGGAGCTGCTACCTGCTGAGTGCTCCAGAAAACACGCAGGCATTGCAGAGACCATGAGCCCTGAGTGTCAGTGAAAATACACCTTAAATGTGTACAGATACAATAGTTCTTGGTATTCCCACACATACCCAGCTGGAGTTCCTCTTGTGTGGTGAGCAGGCACTTCCAAAAATGTGCTTTATGGCATCTACTACACCCCTGCCTCCTGCTGATCCAGTCCCAGGGGTCTGACAAGGGTATTTCAGCCTAGTGAGACCATCAGCCTTTCCCTGTCACATTCCCTCCTTCTTCTCCCAGATAGTCTTGCTGGAGACAGCATTTCAATCTTCCCCTGCTTGACACAGAAAAAGGCAAGCTGTTTTTATGTTACCCAGGCTGTGAAACCAAGATGTGAGCTGGGGAAAGGCTTCAGAGGGACATTTCTCTTGCAGAATCACAGCTTCTCTTCAGAGCAAGCAAAGCACTTCTGCTCCACCCCAATATGGTGCCCATACAACAACAGGGCAGGTGACTGGTTTTCACTGCTCCCAAATGACATGGGACTGGAATCCTCTAAAGTGGGAGAAGTTGATGCCACCAAAAGCAAGGTAGAAAAAGAAGACACAGCTCCAAGATAATGTCAGTAGTTAAGTACCAATGATTTTCTCTGTGATCAGTAACCCCCCCACCCCCAGCTAACATGCCTGTGCTGGCAAAAGCAAGCTCTAAATGGTGCTGTGCCAGAACAACTGACAGGGCAAGTCTGCGAGATGCCACAATCAGATGTAATTAAAACACCTTTGCTGCCCTGCTTTCCATTCTCTCAGCAACAAAATCCATTACAGAATGCAGTTAGAAAATGATTTAAAATGTCCCTGAAGCCAAGTTGTTGACACCAGTGTAGACAGATGGATTTTGATACACCCTTGATTAAACAGCTTTCTGCAAAAGGCAAAGAGGGCAGGAAGGGAGCTGGGTGATGAGCTCCAGGACCATACTAGAAACAGGGGTTATTCCCCAGGGAAAGCAAGTGCTGCTGGAGGAGAAAAATGCCCAATCAACCAGCCAGAGGCTAAAATAGCCTCATCACCCTGGGAATCAGGCTGCAACCCTCTGCTCCAGTACCAGGCGCCTGTCCCTGTGCTTCCTGCTCAAAGTTGGGCTGGCAACACCACGTACATCACTTCTAGTCTCCGATGAAAGGATGAAGGGAAAACAAACAACAGAAAGCCTCACACAGGGCTCAGCCCCTAGCAGGGCCAGCAATACTTCCATTTGCCATGGAGTTACATACCCCAGTGGGATTCCCCAGGATGCAGTAGGGTACTCTTTCCAAGAACAGTTTTCCCCACAGATTCATGACATCTCTCTTCCTCATTCTCTTGCACACAGATGCTCTTGCACTGATAAGGATTTAACTCCTTTGACAAAGATAAAGTCTTCTCCCTGGCCATCTATTTCTATCAAGCTGGTAGGAGCTCGTTAACTTTAAGGTCTCTGGCATACAGAGCTGCAATCAGCCATCAGGGTGGAAAGTTATTAGGGGTGTGCAAAAAGGAGCCAAAACCACATTAACCCTCTTCTCTCAAGGAAAAAAAGTAAGAAGGAAGGAAGTTACAGGCAGCTGGCCTGTCCAGCTCTTGGAGAGAAGAAATCCAGGTGGAACAGAGGGTTAAGCACAGCTCAGAGAACAACCTGAAGAGCCAGGGCTGAGATGAAACACCTCTTGAGCAAGCACAGAGGCTCTGCAGGCTTGGATGCTGCAGACACAGGTGTGGGTTGTGGAGCTACACAAACTATTGACCACTGCTTACCAACCCCGTGTCATTCTGGCCTGCTCTGGTGGCCAAATGCTCTGAAGCTGCTGTGACCTGGCAGCAAAGGTTTGCAGGCATGTCTCATGAAAAAAAAAGGGTTTTTCCCATCAAATCTTCCTCAGGCTTTGTGTACAAAGACGTTTGACCAAAGACTCTGGATCAGGAAGGAATTATAAATCAGAAAGTATGAGATACTCATTTCACCAGCTCCTGCAGCAATAAAGCCCCTGTTCATGCACAACATTAGTCTCTCATTACTAATGTACATCAGATGGCTCAAATTTCCCCTGCTCCCTCTCATGGCCTGAAAGAAACTGAAGCAAGCAGCAAGAACCTTCTTATTAAATCATAAGCATCTACCTTATTATTTCTCTGGAACTTGCCTGTGAGTGCCCTGTGCAAACCTGACACTTGGGAACCTTCAGCTCCTTTATTTTATAGGCAGTTTGACACTGAGGTGGCTTTTGGTCCCAGCTCTGCTCGATGCAGTGCTGGTTCATAAGCACAGCACCACTGATCCTCAGACCTGCAAACAGCTGAGGGGCTGCTGGGCTCCCTTCTGAGTCATCAGAAATCCAGCCTCAAGTTAACCAAGGCACAGCCCAGGCACCGCTGCGGCTCCACCTTCCCTGCAGCCACTTAGCCTGGGTAAGGATAATCCTGTTTCCAGCAAGAAAGCAAGTGTCTGAAAAACATGTTCACCAGTGCATTTCAATTATCAACGTTTTTAAACGCTGTTTCACGCCCCATGAGAATACAGTCACACCTCAGACAGGGCTGCCTCTTCACAGGGTATCACACCACTTGGAAACCCTGTTTTTGCACCTGAGAAAGGTTGGGGATGAAGAACCTTTATCCTAAGGATGCCTTAAGCTAAGTCTCACATCTTTTAAAACACAGCGAGAAGGTCACATTTATTGCCTACCAACTTTTCTCTCCCAAAAGTCATGGCCCAAAACTCGGCTGTGTGGGCACCTACACACAGAGCTGAAGGAGGGGCTGGTCCTTGCCTTGGTCTCTGACAGCTGAGCATTTTATTCCCCCTGCAAACAAAACACATCAGTTGAGCGCCACCAGGGAAGTCACAGGACCAGAGAAAATTCCCAGAAAAAGCCTTGGCAGTGTTCCTCCTTCTCTGTGGCTGCGAGTGAGATGGAGTAATGGAGCACGACACATGGAGCAACAGAAGCTGAACGACACACGTGTTACTGCAAGGAAAATGAACAATATTAGAGGGGAGGGGGGAGGGGAAGGCACTTGCTAACAAGTATTTATTAAAACACAATCTTATCCTCATCTGACCCTCACTGCGATTAAAGCAAACGGGACAGACTGGCATCACTGCTGGGGCGTTCAGGCGATGGCACTGACCATCCATGTACATAATTGCCCAGGAGGTCCCACAGCCACCCTGTCGCCTTCCCTCCAGCAATCCGAGATGTGTCACTTTACGTCACCTCCCTCCCCTCTCTCCCCATGGCAGGGAGGTTGGAAGTAGATGATCTTTAAGTTCCCTTCCAACCCAAACCACTCGAGGATTCTATGACTATTTTAAGGCCACTCAGCCCCACGCTCCAGGCTCACAGAGTCCTCTGACACAGTCAAAGCATCTCCCAGCCTCAGACCAGCCAGCTCTCCATGTGTTTTGCTCACTGTGGCCTGTCAAAAGGACACTCAAGTCCTGCAACACCCATAGATCTCCTTCCCCCCACATGTCTTCTACAGAGATCACCAAGGGATGAGCTCCCTTCCCATTCCAGCAAGCTCCACAAAGAGGAGGGAAAAAAAAATCTGCTGACTTCAGTGGGATTTGGGGGCTTCAAAAACCAACAAGTTTAGGACCCCAGTGTGTCTGCCCTACTAATAGCTACAGCACTTCTCAGGAGCACAGGGAATCATGGTTTGGGTTGGAAAGGACCTTAAAGATCATCTAGTTTCAAGCCCATGCCATGGGGCAGGGACACTTCCCATTAGACCAGGGTTCTGAGACCATAAGCACAAGAAATCTTGGGAAATCTAGACACGTGCCAAATGGTTGGACAGACTCCTGAAATGGCTCAGCAAGCAATGAGCTTGGTGCAGTGTCCCCATCAGTCACTGGCTATCAAACCTAATCCCATGGCATGATAACATTCCTTGAATATGCTTTACATTTAAAAAGTAATGAAGAACCAGGGTGAAAAAAATGCTGTGATGGAAGGGAAGAGTTGAAATTCAACCCCTGTAAGAAGCCCTAAAGACAAAAGCACATTTCACATTCTGCAATCTGTAAGAGAGTTGATTTTCTGTTCCTCAGCTTCAATCACCTCTTTGCTAGTGAGATTTGGCACTAGGCCAGGTCTCCCGAGGAAGCAGAGGCAAGGATTTTCCGAAGGATTTGTCACCCACATCTCCTCCCGCAATGCTTCCTTGGGGGTTTTTTAATGAGCAAGGCCCTCCTTTGAAAAAAAAATCTGCCTTTAAAAGATGAAGCCATGCCCATGAGAAACCCCAGGGCAATATTTCTACCTCAACCCCAGCTCCAAGCCCCCTGCTTGCCTCCAAGCTCTGCCGCCCTCCACCTGCTTAAGGAGGATGTTTTCATTATTGTTCAATTTGCAGTGAGTTTAGCTTAACGTCCTTCATTGGATTATTTTTATATTTGATGTCCTCTCCTCTCCTCCTCTTCTTTTTATAGACTGGTAATCCAAGTCCCTTGGCAAGGCTGAGTAATCTTGATCAGATTTTAATCAAAGTAAGCCAGATCCTCAGCTGCCAGTATTGATGCATCTGCCTTTAAATATTTGAACGATGCTGATTTACCCCAGCGAGGCGCAGGCCCCATCCATTCAGGAAATTTAAATTCCTTCCTAGGCATCAAGCTAAAACAACAAGACAGAACAAGCAACCTGCTGTGAAGGGGTTTTAGTTTATAAAACCAATACCCAG